TTGGTCAGGAATTTTTCCTAAGGCCCATTCTACAATAATTTCCTTGATTTACGATTTTCATATTTACTTTCATCATATATACATTTATAATCACTATATACTAATTTTTAGTTATTTTTTTAGTTTTAGTAAAAAAAAAAGATATTTCATTTCAATATTATACTTGAATTTTTTTTAAATACTTAAAAAATTAGTGAAAATTTCTATTAAATTTTAGTCATTTCTTGCTAAAACTTTAGTTTAAAAAAAATTAAATACTTTAAAAATTAGTGAAAATTTCTACTAAATTTTAGTCATTTCTTGCTAAAATTTTAGTTTAAAAAAATATTACTAAATCAGATAGTAATATTTTACCAAAAAAAATTAGTGGATTTTTTTTTTTTTTTTTTTTTACTAATTTCTTGTCATTTTTACTAATGCTTTATAATAAGAAAGAAATTACTAAATCAAATAGTAATATTTTACTAAAAAATTAGTTATTATTATCTACTAATTATCTACTAATTTTTAGTCACTTTTAGGGTTTCATTGCGCAGGCCCAAAAGCCACAGTTAGCATAAATAATCGTTACCGTTAGTAACCGTTTCCTTAGCAACGATTGCTAAGAATTTTTTCCTCATCAACGGTAATATTAATTTTGGCCACGATACCCTGCAATGCGCCTGCTTCTCTCATATTTTTTAACTAAAAACTTTAGTAAAAAAATTATTACTAAATCAAATTGAATTTTTTTTCCCTACTCTCTAAATCTGAATTAGTAAAAATGTTTACTAATTTAAATTAGTGACTCACTTTTTACTTTAGAATTAGTTAAATTTTACTAATTGTTAGTTAAAGTTACTAATAATTAGTAAAATTTTACTAATTCAGAAGCAAAAAGTGCGTCACTAATTCAAATTAGTAAACATTTTTATACTAATTCAGATTTAGAGAGTAAAAATTAGTAAAAATTTCTGCTAATTTCTAGTATTTTTTTTTCTTTTACTAAACCATTAGTAAAAAAAATATTACTAAATCAAATTGAATTTTTTTTTTCCCTAAAAATTAGTAAAAATTTCTACTAATTTCTGGTATTTTTTTTTCTTTTACTAAACCTTTAGTAAAAAAAAAATATATTACTAAATCAAATAATATAATTATTTTATTTAAAAATTTGCTGAAAATTTTCTGCTAACTAGAATTAATGAACAAATACTAATTCAAATTGAGAGAGTAATTATTTTGCACTCAAACTTTTTTTTGCAAAATTAATTATCAATTAATTGTTTCAAATAAATATTTGCCGCATATTCGTACAATTTTGTTTTATGAACGTAGAATGCGCTTTTATATATATATATATATATCTAGATTTGAAAAATTCTACTATACATAAAAATCGTTTTCTTAAAAAAAAAAAAATATAAATAAAAATTTTTTTTTTTAAATATAAAATCGTATTCCTTGTGACGTCACTATAATCAATAATAGAAAATCTGAAGAGCGTTTTTGATGATCACTGTTTCGTGTGAGCTAATATAACCTTGAATAAATTTATATGTAAAATTTTCAGTTTGTCGACAAAATTAGCATATATTAAAAGAGAATTTTTTTTTTCTTTTTAGATATTTATTTACAAGAATTGCGTGCTTCTATTTTACATTTAGAGAAAGAAAAAGAAAGAGAGAGAGAGAGCAATTGGAATTAAGAAATGCTTTCGGGATTTAGCAATATCAAAAATTTAGTCGAAAAGATTATTTAAAAAAGAATATTATACACGGTAAAAAAAAAATCTTTATCTGAAACAACGATATGTTTCATCTAGATTCTACAATAACGAAAACTTTCGCTGTTTTTAGTGAAAAATATCGTTGTTCCAGTGAAACTTCTGGTAAATTTTGCCTTTGTGAAATCTGATTATTTTCATTATCAGATCGTGCGGGCAATTTTTGCAATACAATTATATGCATTTTGGATACTCTTTTTTTTTAAAATAAATATCTTCAATCGTTACTTGCATGTTCCATCTTCTCGCTTTCTTCTTTTGTCTCTCAAGACTAAGAATTTTTATATCGAGAAAAACAGCACAGCTGAAACGAGTTTTTGGTCGTTGAGACGAGATCGATACATTGGAGCTTGACCGACGAGACCACCTTGGTTATTGTTGGATCCTGAAATTTGATCTGGCCTTAAGGCGCTCGTATTTTCAATATGTACATATGTATATACAATAAATAAATAAAAAAAAAAAGAAAAAAATTTGCCAATCTAATGAAATCAGTATATATGAATTTTTCCAGATCGCGGAATAACCCATTCAAGGCAACTAATAAGGGGTTCTCTCTATATATATATATATAGGATGAGAAAAGCGCGAAGCAAAAAAAAGGTCTGAAAAAGGCGGAGGTATAAAGTCTGTGAGTAGGCGGGAAAGAGGGAGAAAAAAAAGGGTTTGCCAACAGCACCGGAGGATGCCCTGAAAACACGCTGGACGTGTGGCGCCATCTCGGCTTCTTTTTTTTTCCTCTCCTACCCCCTTTTCGGCGTCTTACTGCTTTTGTTTCTTCGCCCATACTAATTCTTTCGCGAATGGGGCCGCCGCCAAATGGGAGAGAAAGAGAGAGAGAGAAAGAGAGGGAGAGTAGGAGAACGCGCCACGCTGGGTCCAGCTGAAGACCCAAAAAGGCCCCGTGCTACACACATCGTCACTTTATGTGCAAGCACTGTTTCTCATTCGTGTGCGGAGTGACCACGACTCTCTTCGTCGGACCACATACCTGCAAAACGAACGCCCCGAAACACTCTTACAGGGGGGTACACCCAAGAACAGGTCGTTAAAATGTAATGACATTGTTGTTTTTAATGCTTGCCTCTTTAAAACGGTCGCCCCCCCCCTTTGCTTCCTCTATCACAACCTTTTCTCATCATTGACTTCCTTAATTCCCCTCTTCTCTATATATAGCGCTACTGTTGAAACAATTTAAGAATCAAATTTTCACACTTTAACATTTTTATCTCCAGCAAGTACAATATTTTTGAGGTTATGTGATTTACACTTTTTTTTTGTTCTTTTCTAACACACGTGTTGTAACACACACTCACGTGAGTTAGAAAAGGACAAAAAAGTGTAACCATATCAGGGCCAATAGTTTTATTTACACAGAAAATTAAAAAGGCATTAAAATAAGCTGCAATGCTTATTATTTTAATCCAATTTTGCTTATTTTAATACCAAAATTGGATTAAAATAATAAGCGTTGCAGCTTATTTTAATGCCTTTTAATTTTCTGTGATGACATTAGTTACTGTGGCATTAGTTACTATGGTGTGGCATTAGTTACTATGGCATTAGTTACTGCGGCATTAGTTACTGTGGCATTAGTTACTATGGCATTAGTTACTGCGGCATTAGTTACTATGGTAACAGTTAGTTACTATGGCATTAGTTATTATCACAGAAAATTAAAAGGCATTAAAATAAGCTGCAACGCTTTTTATTTTAATTTTGCTTATTTTAATACCAAAATGGATTAAAATAAGCAAAATTGGATTAAAATAATAAGCGTTGCAACTTATTTTAATGCCTTTTAATTTTCTGTGATATTTTCAGCCATTAACTCACTTGAGTTGCAATAATTTTCCCTAAAGACGGCGCTAGTATCATCGCTAATCAAAACACGGCGAAATAGAATTAGAAAACAGGTTTTACCTTAATATAAACTTTTTTTTTATCAGGCAAAATGAAATAAAAAATTTTATTGAATATTTTTTGATATAATAAATATTTAATTATTTTTTATAAATTTGATACTCTTTGTATATTTTCAATTAGAAAAATCGAAAAATATAATCTAAAATTTTTTTATCTTTTCATCTAAAATATTATCAAGAATTCGCAAATACAAATAAAAAAATTTAATATTTAGAGAAATTGACTAAAATATACAAAAAATATTATACATTTTTCTTTAAAAATCAATGTAACATTATAAATATATAAGTGAAAGTTTTAGATATACACATAATATGTGATTGTGGACACACACACACATGTATACTGACCTCCTCCAACGTTCTTTTCCATCATATATATATATATAAAAAAAATAGTTATTCTCATAAGAAAACCATTAAGAATTAAATCTCTAATTGAAGTTCATTTTTCTTAAAATCAAGTTTTAAATATTGAAAAAAGATTTAAAAACCAAAAGAATTGATAACAAGAATTAATGTGAAATTAATTCTTAATTGAAATTATCAAAATCTGAATATTTACCAAATATTTTACCAATTATTTCAATTATATTTTTGCAAAAAATAGAAATTATAGTAAAAAAATGTTGAATTGTTCAGAAACTCTATATATACAAAATGGCAAGATATATCTAAATCCGATCCTGTTTCAGGAGCGAGAAGTGGAATCGCGACAATAATTTATGACGATCGAAGACCTTTTTACAGCGATACATCAGTAGCGTCAGAAATAAAATTAAGATTGCGCTTTTTGCACGACATAGTTCGTTTTCTTCCTTCCTACCTGCCTACCTTATTCTCGCGATTACGACGTCAACTTGGTATCTGCATCTAACATTCATTTCAATCATTTCGGAAAAATGGCGGAAAACTATTTTTTTTTCACAAGAAAAAAAAAGAAAACATTTGTGATCATTTTTTTTCTCGAATTTATCCAAATCCGTTATGAAATGATTGAGCGCGTGCTCAAGCTGATGAACCATGACAATGCTACTTTATTCCTATATATATATATGTCATGATATACTATAATGAAGAATAGTCAAGATCTCTCTTCAAGAGCATCATGTATTAAAAAATACAGGTTTGGAAAAAGAGAAAAAAAAGAATGAAGAGTTGAAATAAAAAAAAAAAACCAAGGTTTGTAACACCTAAAAGTGAGATGATAACGATCGCCCTCCAGAGAGTGAAGAAAAACAAAAAGGTTCACACTTGAAACGTAATAAGCCAGGTCCTTCCTGCTGTGAAAGGATGAATTTGAAACTCACCTCTTGTGGTGTTTTTGGATATTCTCCTATTCCAGCATCTGCTGCACTTTATTTAATTCTAAATCGTCTTCTCTTTTTTGACAACCTTAAATATCCTTCAAAGGAGAATGCTCTGATGATTTGATCACTACTGAGGTACTCCCATGTTAAGCTTCATTTGGCACTTAGGTGGCGTCCTGTTCATACCACAACTGCGTATTACGTACTGTGTACACCGCGGTGAGTACATAGGCCCGTTACCGGTTTAACTGGACGAACTTCACCCCGTAACTCTTTTGCTGCGTGGCTAGGAGCAGAGTAGGCAACTCTTGGATAAACCGAAGGGGCCTTACTCAGCCTCACTAGAATCGAGACTGAACTCGACCAACTTGAGCTCTGAAACTGCTGCTGCCGATCTCTCGTCTTCCTCCTCCTCCTCCTCCTCATCTTTCTCCTCTCACCAACGATATGACTCCATGCCGCCACCTCTTGCTCTTGATGCTGCTCCTCCTTCTTCTTCTTCTTCTTCTTCTTCTTGTACCTTCGATTCCTTGCCGTTCCCGTTTTCTATAAAAGAGAAAAACCTCCGATGAAGGGATAAAAGAGATAAGAAAAAGAACTATTTTTGCCATACAAAAGATGTCTATGCAAATAAAAAAAGAAATATAGAGAGCGAGGACCATGCACTCTGAAAAAAGTAAAATCGCCCGAGGCCTTTCACCTCGAACCAGTAAAACTGGAGTGCTAAATGTATATATATATATATACGTTTGTCATATATAGCCTCAAGAATAAGTTGTAGATATACGCATAAATAATTACACAGGCCGGTAAAATTTTCGACCAAACAAAAAGAATGAAAGAAACAAAATATTTCCAAAGCATTATGAATCTGAATCTGATCAGGTTGTCGAACTCAAGTGTTAAAAAGAGACGTTTTTTGATCATGTTTGAGGTCATGTAACAATTTTTTTTCTCTCGAAAAAGCTGTTACAGCATCCGAAAGTGCTGGTCTTACCTTTTAAAATGCATTTTGAAAAAAATTTTTATTCGGCTCTGTATTTCATACAAAATAATTTTTGTTTTAAAAAGCTGTTACAGCTTACGAAAGTACTGGTCTTACCCTTTAAATTGCATTTTGAAACAAATCTTTATTTGGCTCTATATTTCATACAACATAATTTTTGTTTGAAAAAGCTGTTATAGCATCCGAAAGTACTGGTCTTACTCTTTAAAATGCATTTTGAAACAAATCTTTATTTGGCTCTGTATGTCATGCAACATAATTTTTTTCAAGAAGGTTGTTATACAGCATTCAAAATTACTGGTCTTACCCTTTATGGATTTTGAAGCATAACATAATCTTCATTCGGCTCTGTATGCCATACAACATAATTTTTGTTTAAAAAAATCTGTTACAGCATCCGAAAGTACTGGTTTACCCTTTCAAATGTATTTTGAAACAAATCTTTATTTGGCTCTGTATGTCATGCAACATAATTTTATTCAAACAGGCTGTTATACAGCATTCGAAAGTACTTGTCTTACCCTTTAAAATGTATTTTGAAACATAAGAAAATCTTTATTCGGCTCTGTATTTCATACAACATAATTTTTGTTTGAAAAAGCTGTTACAGCATCCGAAAGTACTGGTCTTACCCTTTAGAATTCATTTTGAAACAAATCTTTATTTGGCTCTGTATGTCATGCAACATAATTTTATTCAAAAAGGCTGTTATACAGCATACGAAAGTACTTGTCTTACCCTTAAAAATGTGTTTTAAAACATAAAAAAATCTTTATTCGGCTCTATATTTCATACAACATAATTTTTCTTTGAAAAAGCTGTTACAGCATTCGAAAGTACTTGTCTTACCCTTTAAAATGTATTTTGAAACATAAGAAAATCTTTATTCGGCTCTGTATTTCATACAACATAATTTTTGTTTGAAAAAGCTGTTACAGCATCCGAAAGTACTGGTCTTACCCTTTCAAGTGGATTTTGAAACAAATCTTTATTTGGCTCTGTATGTCATGCAACATAATTTTATTCAAAAAGGCTGTTATACAGCATCCGAAAGTACTTGTCTTACCCTTTAAAATGTATTTTGAAACAAATCTTTATTTGGCTCTGTATGTCATGCAACATAATTTTATTCAAACAGGCTGTTATACAGCATTCGAAAGTACTTGTCTTACCCTTTAAAATGTATTTTGAAACATAAGAAAATCTTTATTCGGCTCTGTATGTCATACAACATAATTTTTGTTTGAAAAAGCTGTTACAGCATCCGAAAGAACTGGTCTTACCCTTTAGAATTTATTTTGAAACAAATCTTTAATTGGCTCTGTATGTCATGCAACATCATTTTATTTAAAAATGCTGTTATACAGCATCCGAAAGTACTGGTCTTACCCTTTGAAATGTATTTTGGAACAAATATTTATTTGGCTCTGTATGTCATACAACATAATTTTTTCGAAAAAGGTTGTTATACAGCATCCGAAAGTACTGGTCTTACCCTTTAAAATCCATTTTGAAACATAAGAAAATCTTTATTCGGCTCTGTATTTCATACAACATAATTTTTGTTTCAAAAAGCTGTTACAGCATCCGAAAGTACTGGTCTTACCCTTTAAAATACATTTTGAAACATAAAATCTTTATTTGGCTCTAAGTTATCGTCATTTTGATTTTTTTAAAAGCATTATTATCTGATATTGAAAAATTCATACCACTCAGAAAATTCAAATTATACCTTAGAACCAAATAAAGATTTTGCATTTTAAAGCAGAAGATTAGTACTTTTAGATGCTGACCCCTCAAAAACATCTTTTTTTTGCACTTTCAGATTCGAAAACCCCGGGTCAATTTTGAGGTCACATTCGAATTCAAAATGCTTCGAAAAAGTGTATTCCGATTCTTAATTTCGAATTAGGACAAAATCTGTGTTATTCATAATTTACAAGTGTAGAGGTAAAAATTCTTTTTTTTTCTGTATTTTCCTGCATCCTCTGTGGTTTCTTTCATCTCTACCGATTCCTCTCCTTTTTATCTTGTACCATGTGTGATACCCCAAGAGTTTAAATCTCCAAAGGCTAGAACTTACATGGCAGATAATGTTTGATTTTTTTTTTCTTGCCTTTTAAAACTTGGATCCATTTTTTTATTCAACAAAAATTCTGCAAATGACATAATCGTTTTAATATATTCCTTCAAAAAAAAAAAGGGAATCTTCATTGCTGAAAATATTTTGTTTTTTTTTTCTCAAACCTTTCTTGTCTCATATATAACACTTATATAATACGGATTCAAGTGGCGTGAAATATAATATTGAAAATAAAATCTTCATAATTGATCTATTTCCTTGAGAATAATTTATAAAATTCATAACTAAATGAAAATTTAAAGTATCACTTGATCGTTCGGATTGATGATGATAAATAAAAGAGATCATTTTCTTGTTCAGAAGCAGAAGCATTAGTATAACTTTTTGGATCCATATACATATATATATATATATATATATATATATATATATATATATATATATATATATATATATATATATATATATATGATGTTTTGGTTCCGATGAATGACCTCGTGTCTTTCACAACCTCGTTAAGATTGGACGTGACATTCCGAAACTCGTTTTGAGTACGCCAGGTACCGTGGCTGATATTATTATACAGGAACTCGTTTCACGGTATCTTTCTTAATAAAACCAAGCTAACTCTTTACTCCCGATGAGTAATAATAATTTTGCGCGACTTTTCCTTTCGGGACCACCCAATATTTTTTTCAATAATTTCTCATTCACACAAGGAAAAAAAGAAAAAGTAATTTTTACCACTTTCAAAGTAAAACGGGAACTGTTCCGAAGTTTTTGCAAATCTCTGGCAACTTTTACACTCCAAAAATAGTAAAATTTACTTCAGAAATGGTAAAAATTACTACAAAAACAGTAAAATTTGCTATAGAAATAGTCAATTTTACTAATTTTGGAGTAAAAATTGCTAGAGATGGGCAGAAACTTCGGATAATTCCCATTTTACTCTGAAAGTAAGTTTTTCCTTTTTTTTCCGTGCACATGTTATATATTCCTTTATATAAAATTCATCACTTTTTCAGTTGTAAAATTCACAATCAATAAAAACGTAAATTAAATATTAAAAAAAGAACATAAAAAAATAAGCTAAAGTTACTTCCGAATTGAAAATTGATTTTTTTTCTTCAGAATGTGCGCGCACATTAATTATAATTGGGTGTGATTAAGTCAGGTTTACCTTTTGATTTTCTTGATATTGAATACACTACTGGTTCTATATATATATATATAGTATATTTCTATCTCAGGTAGTCCCTTAGCTTCTGGCACTTGTCCTTGTTATTATATCGTTCGAACTGCCCCAAATTACAAGACCGTCCGATCCTCGATTGATGATCTCCTTAATTCTATTCTTTCTTAATTTTTTTTTTTTTTTTTTTTTCTTCCTATACGTTAAATTGCCATATAAACACCATTTTACGTCAATTGGTGTTTACACAAAATGATCGTTGATGCCTGTTAATAAAACTTAAAAAAAATTTATTATGGGAATTTTTGGGAAAGGTAAGTTAAATAATAAAATATTAAATTTAAAAAGGGCTCAATAAAAGAGCAGGAAATGTAAGAAATATAAAATATAGGAAAATATAAGAAATATAAAATATATGAAATTGAAAAATATAAAAAATGTAAAAAAAATGTAAAAAATGTAAGAAAAATGGAACTTTTTTTGAAAATTTGTAAGAATTATATCAATAGAATTAAAATAAATCCTTATCTTGACAATTGTCAACATTTCAAAGAAAACAGATTTATAAATCATACAAAATTTTTTTTTTGCTTATTCCTTATGATTTCCATAACAGAAATTCATTGGAATTTTTGTCAATAACAAGCTGTCACCATTTACCCTGAGTTTTCAAATTTTTTGGGGTAAATGGTGACTGCTTGTTATTAACCAAATTGACAAAAATCAAAAATTCAAGTGAATTTCTGTTATTTTCATCTCTTAATACAGTAATGGAAACTTTTTTCTTAAACCTTCTTAGAAACTATGCTGTGTCCCCATTTATCCCCAAATTTTCTAAATCTTGGGGTAAATGGGGGGACAGTCAATTTCATGCGTTTAAAGCTTATCTAAATTTTTTTTCTTAAAATTAATCCTGGGAATGTAAATAATAATTTAAAAAGAAATATTACTTTTTAAATTTAAAGTAAGAAACTTACGTAATTTGTGAAAAATATAGATTTTGTCCCCATTTACCCCAACTGATCCTACATTAGGTAAAATTAAAATTTATAATAACTTAAAATTTTGGGAAAAAAGGTAACGCAACTAAAAATTGTTTATTACTTTTTTTTTTAATGAATCTTCATTTATTCAACGAGTTTTTTTTTCACAAATTGTTTTTTAGGCGTGACTTTCTTCTAAAGTTTTTGCAAAAACACGTAATGAAAAAGCTTCCAAAAAATCGACTAAATACACTACAATTTTAGCCCTCTCATTATTTTTTTTTTTCAAAATTCATGCCTATTATTATGGAAAAAGAGAATGTTTTTTTTTTTTAATCGACGATTTCGTGCAAATTCGATAATTTTTCTATTATAATGTATATATATATATATAACTTATCTACATTATTCATTTTTCTTTTATACTCATGGATGTGTCCCTTATGTAATATATAATATACAATTTTACACTTAAAGTGAGTGTTTAATTGCTTTTTTTTTTATTTGGACGAGAGTAGAAAAAAAAAAAGTTGATAAATTGATTTTCATCGATATTATACAACTTTCTATTGGGGAAGATTTCTCGTTTAATCATTTTTCTAAGTGCGTAAATCTGTTCAGAGAAATCCTAGTCAAAAAAAAAAAAAAACTCTCGATCCTGGCATTTTTTTTCTTTTCTTTACTTTCTTTATTTTACTTGTTTTGTAAATTTTTTGTTTTTCATACAAATTATTATTTTTTTTTTTTTTTAAACAATAATTTCTGTTTTACTGAAGAACTAAACCAATTTTTTCCGGTTCTATGCTTGGACAACGCCAATTGTACAGATAATACTGTAAGTTACCATCGCCTATTCCGAATTTTAATGGCTCCAAAAATTCCTTGTTGTCCATTAAATTAAGAGCATTAAAAACGTCGAATCCGAGCTAGAAAAATTTTTTTTAAAAATTATTTATACAATTCTTTTTCAGAAAAAAAAAATTGAGATATTAATTTAAACTTACATTACGAGCTGAGATTAATGCATCGGTCATTAGATCCACCCAGGGAGTAACGGTGGAAACATTGTAAAAACTATACGCCGCTACTAAAGTTTTGTGAGTTTGATGATGCATCACGGAACTTGGCAATGTATAATAACTGACCATATCAGTGATTTTATTATCATTTTCCACTACAAAACTGTTAATGATACCATTTTGTGGAAGGAACCAATGTCGAAATTCATCTTCGCTAAATATTGGAGCTAAATCAAATTTTTTAAGATACTGAAAATAAAATTTTGTAAAAATTAGATTTTATTTGCAAAAAAAAAAAAATTTAATTATTCTCTAATTTCTTTATGTAGATTTTTTTTTTTTCAAAAAACTCACATCGTATAGAATTTTATGAGCTTGTGGAATATCCGTTTGAACTAGTTTTCTAAATCCAGGAACTTTTGTATTTTCTGGCAGTTTATATAATTTTAGAGTCCTCTGCATCGTCATATTGCGCGAGAGATGCGAGAATTTAATCTCAATTAGTTTCTTTGGATTTAGAGAACGATGCCAATACCTAATAAATAGAAAAACAAGTTATAAATTCAGATGTTCATTACATGAAAATTTTGCTTCCTCTTTACGATCAGCAAAAAAAATTTGCTTCCTTTTGAGTCAAATTTAAAGAATTAATGGAAGTTAAAAAATCATATTTTAACCGAAATTTCTAAATATTAATGAAAAATAATATATAATTTATAATTATTTACAATTACATCGATTCGTTTTAATTATTTTATATTTAAATTCGAATTTAAATAAATATAAATTTTTTCAGCTAAAATGTGTATTTTTTAACTTTCATTAATTTATTAAATTTACCTTAAATTTAAATTTTATATATATACCAATCGATTTTTTTTTCATGTAAGGAATACAATTATTTCATCTATAAACTTAAATTTAAATAATTACAAAATTTTTCAGCCAAAATGTGAATTTTTGATTTTTTAACTTTCATTAATTCTTTAAATTTAAATTAAAACTATACTTTATATATATATATACTGATCGATTTGTCTTGACGTAAGGAGAACGATTTTATTATATATATATAAACTAAAATTTTTCTATTTAAAAATTTTTTCGATTGAAAAAAAATTTTTTGGAAAAAAGACGATAAAATTTTTTTTTGGGTATTTTTTTAAATTCTTTGGTTAGATTTGAGACATTAATATGATAAATGAGCCTACCAAATTTTATCTAAATCCATTAAAACCTGTTAAAGTTATTTTCTAAACAAAAAAGGGATCCACACACACATACATCCGGACAATTGATCAGAATCTCATATAACATGTTTCTATATAGAGAAAAATTTGTTTCCGATACTTTGAAAATTTTTACAAACGAAAAGACTACAAAGCTTTCTCTACGAGGAAGCAAAAAGTAGATATTTTTTTTTTTAATTTTCCAAAAAACTATTTTTTGAATAAAAAATTTACCTGCAAGTGGCAATTGGTTTTGGCAGTACAACACCAGCAGTGTAAACTGCTTGAAAAATACCTTGGAGATTAACTCTCCTTGTGATTTCACGAATTAAAACAGGAGCCATTCGTTTCGATCTTAGTTTCTTGTGTACACACAAAAAATTGATTTCAACCATTTTTTGAACACTGTATAGAAAAAAATTTTGTATTAAATTATAATTTTTTTTTTTTAATTAAAAATATGGGGCATTCTATTTTAAAATTATACCCCTAGTAAACAATTGACAATATAAGACATTTTTTAAATAATTATTTCTCCCATTTAATTAAATCAAATTACTTTTGCAATGAGTGGTTTCGAAAGAGAAATTTCTAAACTTTATTATTGTAAAAAAAATTTTTAAAAAAACGTTTAATTAGCATAAAAAATTTAATTTGAAAGTTAAACTTATAAATATCTCAAAACACGTTGTCTCCGATTTTGACAAAATCTGTGTCAAAAGAAAGCTTCAATATTCTATTTTTTATTTCCATAAAGTTTATAATGGACATTTTCGAGGATTTCGAGAAATTAATTAAAATTCTCAGACGTTTCAAAGGTTAAAAAGGGTTGAAATTTGCATGAATAGAGAACCTCTGTTCAAATACAGCGGCATTTGTTTTTACGAAATTTTTAAATAAATAAATTTTAAAACTTCAATTTTAATCTTAATAATTTTTTTAAATTTGAAAAATTTTTAATTGCAAATAGCTAAAGATCAATATATTTATTGTTTACAATATTTTTTTTCTCTAATGTCAAGTGATGTAATAATGTAAGGTTAATGGAAATTAAATTTAAAAAACAAAATCCGCTCTTAAAGAAATGGTTCTCCATTCATACAAATTTCAATCCTTTTTAACCTCCGAAACGTCTGAGAATTTTAATTAATTTCTGGAAATTCTCGAAAATGTCCATTATAAACTTTAAGGAAATAAAAAATAGAATATTTAAGCTTTCTTTTGACATAGATTTTGTCAAAATCGGAGACAACGTGTTTTGAGATATTTACAAGTTTAACCTTCAAACTAAATTTTTTATACTATTTAAATGTTTTTTTGAAAATTTTTTTTTACAATTGTAAAGTTTAGAAATTTCTCTTTCGAAACCACTCATTGCAAAAGTAATTTGATTTAATTAAATGGGAGAAATAATTATTTAAAAAATGTCTTATATTGTCAATTGTTTACTAGGGGTATAATTTTAAAATAGAATGCCCCATATATAAAAATAATTTCTAAACCTTTCGTAAACACGTAAATTTGCTGGAATGGCAGAAATAAATCCTACAAGTCGTGAATTTCTCGTTACACGTACACCACAATGCCATTCTTTACTCCAACCAGGTGGTTGCAATGCCCTGTGAAAATATATGAATTTAGAAAAAAGAAAAAAAAATTCATTTTCAAAACTAAATTCAATTTACTAACCATTTTAAGAAATCAGGTGGATAATCAAACCTAAACATTGCATCATCGTCTTCGACATAATTTTCCGATAATAATGAATACAATTCGGCCAAAACTAATGGATCATCAAGATTTAATGTATCCCAATGAAAATCAGCTGGTAATGAATAAGGCTTTCCTCTAATGCTTGTTCTATCAGCTTCAATTGGTTCATTAGAAACAATTTGTTCATCTGTAATTGAAAAAAAAAAATTAATTCCTCTTTTCTAAATTCTATATTAACTGATAATTACCCATTTTAGGTACAGGTTGCGTGCTCCAAAATTGATAAGATTTTTGTAATGCTTCCTCTTGAGTTTTAGCTGGTTTTTGTTGAAGATTAAGAGCGTCCATTGCCAATTGAATTTCCTTAATTGAAACATTACAATTACTTGGAATCACTATCTCTTCACGACTTCCGGATTCATGATCTTCTCCCATTGAATTTGTTGTTTGATTTTTCTTCTTGCGATTACGCTTCTTAGCACTAAATTAAAAATTTTCATTTAAATAAAAAAAAATTGGATTTCATTTCAATTTTAAAACATAAAAATTATGTATTATATAATTTTGTAAATACAAAATTTAAAAATAATTATTTGCACGATTAATATTTATGTTCTCAAAAATTACAAATCATTGTTTATATCTTTAAATTATATTTTTTGTGTGATAATCAATAAGTGCTTCATTAACACCAACTTGTAGAAAAAAAAAAAAAAAAAAAAAATGGTACAAGCAAGATTTTGCAGAGAATGTGTGTTATATTGATATAGCCAATGTATTAAAGTTAACTCAGCTAACACAGAGAATATAGATACCAATCAAGTGTTTCATGTCTAGTCTCTACTGTGCCGGTGTGCAATCATCAATTATTTCTTCATTGCTTCAATAAAGAATAATAAAAATAAGAAATCACAAAAATTTAATAGTTTAAAAATATAAATTATCTCAAATACCTTGCTGATGTCCCATATTTTTCCTCATTTTCATCCTTTTTAATCTCTCGATCCAAGACTTGATTTTCTTCCTCCATTTTAATATAGATTTTGCTGAAGCGCATGTGCAACGTTCAGCGACATCTGGTTGGTCCTTTTTTTTTCTTTTTTTGAAACTACCATTTTATTCTCAATGTTGTAAAAAAAATAATTTTAAAATTTAAATTACAAAAAATTCTTCAAATATTATTGTAAATTTTATTTAAAAATATATATATATTTTTTTTTTATATATAAAATTTATCTTGCAACAAACTACTAATTTCACTGTTGATAAAGTAGATTACAAATGGTAATTTTATCTATATAAGGTATATAATTCTCAAAAACACTAATTTTAACCATATGAAGGTAAATTTCATTGAAATTAAAATCTTTTATAAATTTTAATTAATAATTAATTTTTTATATTTAACAAAATTTTTCTTACTTTATTATAATAAATTTTTTTAACAAAAAAAAAATTGAAAAAATCTACCTAAATAATACTGGTTTTTGTAAAAAAAAAATTTATTTGAAAAATTTATATTAATTAACAATAAGGATAATTAGGGGAAGGAATGATAAAAATATGACAAGTATAATTTTCATTTTATTTCATTACCAACAGTGTTTTAGCATTTCGCTGGAACAATGTATAGTTTCTATGTTATAATATATACCTATATATAATAATAATAAAAATAATAATAATAATTATTATTATTATAATAACAATAATAAAAAAATAAGAATAACGATAATAATAAAAATAATAATTATAATAATTATACCCTCACAACAAAAGGATATCCTGAGGATATCCTCAGGATATCCTAAACTAATGTAGGATATCCTGAAAACGTCCATAGGATATCCTCAGAACATCCAAACCGCCGTTACGTAGGATATTTTTGGGATATCCTGAGAATATTTTTGTGATATCCTGAGGATATTCAAGGGATATCCCTGGGATATTCCAGGGATATCCTAGTGATATCGTGGGGATATTATTGGGATAAACTTGGTATATCGTTAAAATATTCTAGAAATATCGCTAAGATCTCCCTAGAATATCATTATGATTCAAATTTTGACTATTTGAGATAGCGATTTTTTGATACAAATAGGTTTCCCGTGATTGTCAATCATCTTTCAAATCTGTGCTGTTACCCTAGGACGTAATTGGACGTCCTGAGGATATCCTTGGGACGTTCTAAGGATATCCACAGGATATCCTAATAATATCCGGGGAAATAATTAGGATATCCCTGGGACGTCTTAGGGACATCCTTAGATATCCCTAGGATATCCTATCCGCCGCTACTTTGGATATCCTTAAAGTATCCTTAGGATATCCCTAGGATATCCAAGGGATGTTTTTGGAATATCCTAGGATATCTGGTGCTGTGAGGGTAAAAATAATAATAATAATAATAATAATAAAAATAATAATAATAATAATAATAATAATAATAATAATAATAATAATAACGATGATGATGATGATGATGAGGAAAAAATAATAATAATAATCGTAATAGCAATATAATAGTAGTTTGTGTGTAGTAGGCGAGTCAGTAGGTATATAATGTAAATAGCTTTTAGGTACGCATCATTTTGGTTTATCGATAATTTAAATCTTTGCATGGAAATTGTTGATCTAAAATTTCACGAGAGTTATGGCTCAATATATTAACATTTTCCACTATATTTATTTATTTATTAATTTATTTATTTTTTTTTTGTATTCGGCGCACACGTCCAACATCTCATTCTCTGTTTGTGATTTATTCTTAATACATAATATTTTTATCATCAATTTACAATTTGTATAATCATTAAACAAATATGCATGAAATTGGAAAATTTGCTACACTTAATTGATTTTCGTAATTTGCATTTTGTTATTTTAAATGTACATTTTGCAAAATACACACGAAAATCATAATTCATTTATACTTCAATTTTGTTTTTAATTTTTTTTTTTTTTTTTTTTTTTGAGTTCGATATCTGGGTATTTTTTTTTTATACACGCACACAAGAAAAGACAAGTCTTTTCAAATTACAAGTTTTCTTTTTTCTTTTTTTCCCCTAAAACGATTTTTGTTCAACAAGGCAATTACATAGCAACTACAGTTCTATATATATATATCCTATATATTTATTTTTTTTTTATAAAGAGAAGAAAACAATTCCTTGTTCATTCGACATTTTTAATGTCGAATATCTATATATAAAATATCATTCATATTTTTTTTATATTTATATGTAACAATCAAGAAATTTAAAAAATAGAAATTAATTTTTAAAATCATTTCGATCACTTATTCTATTATATATATATACTATATATATATATATATGTATATATATATATATATATATATATATATATGTATATATATATATATATATATATATATATATATATATATATATATATATATATATATTGTGGAAAGTATTGAAAAAAGGTTTTAATTTGGATGATTTCCAAATTAATATGAAAAAATAGTTGCGTTTTATTTTGAGACACTTTTATAGCATTTCAGATATAATAAAAATGTTTTTGAGACAATTTTATTGTAGGCAAAAAAAAGTGTGTCAAAATAAGACACATCTTTTTTTTTATATATAGGTGTTTATTTGTACTCTCTAAATTTGAATTAGTAAAAATGTTTACTAATTTGAATTAGTAACTCACTTTTTGCTTCTCAATTAGTAAAATTCAACTAATTATTCTAATTTTACTAAAAATTAGTAAAATTTAACTAATTTTAAAGCAACACAGAAAATTAAAAGGTATTAAAATAAGCTATTATTTTAATCCAATTTTGCTTATTTTAATATCAAAATGGATTAAAATAAGCAAAATTGTATTAAAATAATAAGCGTTGCAGCTTATTTTAATGCCTTTTAATTTTCTGTGAAAAAGTGAGTAACTAATTCAAATTAGTAAACTTTTTTTTACTAATTCAGATTTAAAGAATATTATTTCCATATACAGCAATTTGCCTATTTTAAAAATTGCCATTTTTTTTTCGCAATATTAGAGAAATTTTTGCATTAATTTTGTTTACATGTTTAAAAGTGTTGTATGAGTTTTTGTCTTTTTATAATTGTATTTTGAGTTCTTGGATAATATTTAATTTTTAAAGACTAAATTTTCGATTGTATATATTAAGATTTTAGTTTTATTAATTTAAAAATAATACGACAAATACGAAAATAAAATTTTACTTTTTAATCTTATATATATGAAGAAATGAATGGGAATTATGTTTCATCTTTATTCGATAAAATATTATGACAAACAACTCGAATTCATAATAATTATAAATAAAAAAAAAAAAATTTTGTGTATATTAATGAAAATATGCGAAAAAATCTAAAAATTTTTTTTTTTTATGAGTTATTTATCATCTAAATATATCTGATAAAGCGAAAGTGAATGTGAAAATTTGGTTATTGCAATTCTTAATCCTATTTCTATTTCCCGTTCATTTCTGATTTTTCTAAGTCTGAATTCTGTTGTTATTATTACATATATATATGTGACGCTCCATATGAAGAAAGGGACAATAAAATTATAGATTATGTTTACGATAGTTAATAAATTTTTTTTGCAAAAAATTTCTTTAATTTAAAGTATAAATTTTTTTGGATTCAGAAAAAAAAATTTATTTAAATAAAAGAAAATTTTATTCTAATCAAAAACTCTTTGTTTTTATTTTAGAGAAAATTTTACTTTTTGAATCCACTTGGGAAAGATTCCCCCCAGAATGTGCCCCCTTGGAGGTTCTATCAGAATTCCGCCGGAACTTCCAACGTGCAATTCCGTTGGAATTCCATCGGAGTTCCAACGAAATTTTCGATTTGGATTCCGATTAATTTTTTTTTCAAATTTTTTAGAATCCTAATTCCCTTGGAATTCCGTCGGAACACTGTTGGAATCACATCGCAAAATTTTTTGGAACTCCGATGGAATTCCGTCGGAATTACGTTGGAATTCCATTGGAGTTCCAACGAAATTTCCGATTTGGATTCCGATTAATTTTTTTCAAATTTTGTAGAATTCTAATTCCGTCGGAATTCCGTCGGAACACTGTCGGAATCACATCGCAAAATTCTTTGGAACTCCAATGGAATTCCGACGGAATTACGTTGGAATTCCATCGGAGTTCCAACGAAATTTCCGATGGGATTCCGATTAATTTTTTTCAAATTTTTTAGAATCCTAATTCCGTCGGAATTCCGTCGGAATCCCATTGGAAATTCTTTGGAACTCCGATGGAATTCGAACGGAATTACGTTGGAAGTTCCGTTGGAATTTCATCGGAGTTCCAACGAAATTTCCGATTTGGATTCCGATTAATTTCTTTTTCAAATTTTTTAGAATCCTAATTCCGTCGGAATTCCGTCGGAACACTGTCGGAATCACATCGCAAAATTCTTTGGAACTCTGATGGAATTCCGACGGAATTACGTTGGAATTCCATCGGAGTTCCAACGAAATTTCCGATTTGGATTCCGATTAATTTTTTTCAAATTTTTTAGAATCCTAATTCCGTCGGAATTCCGTCGGAATCCCATTGGAAATTCTTTGGAACTCCGATGGAATTCGAACGGAATTACGTTGGAAGTTCCGTTGGAATTTCATCGGAGTTCCAACGAAATTTCCGATTTGGATTCCGATTAATGTCTTTTTCAAATTTTTTAGAATCCTAATTCTGTCGGAATTCCGTCGGAACACTGTCGGAATCACATCGTAAAATTCTTTGGAACTCTGATGGAATTCCGACGGAATTACGTTGGAATTCCATCGGAGTTCCAACGAAATTTCCGGTGGGATTCCTATTAATTTTTTTCAAATTTTTTAGAATCCTAATTCCGTCGGAATTCCGTCGGAATCCCATTGGAAATTCTTTGGAACTCCGATGGAATTCGAACGGAATTACGTTGGAAGTTCCGTTGGAATTTCATCGGAGTTCCAACGAAATTTCCGATTTGGATTCCGATTAATGTCTTTTTCAAATTTTTTAGAATCCTAATTCTGTCGGAATTCCGTCGGAACACTGTCGGAATCACATCGTAAAATTCTTTGGAACTCTGATGGAATTCCGACGGAATTACGTTGGAATTCCATCGGAGTTCCAACGAAATTTCCGGTGGGATTCCTATTAATTTTTTTCAAATTTTTTAGAATCCTAATTCCGTCGGAATTCCGTCGGAATCCCATTGGAAATTCTTTGGAACTCCGATGGAATTCGAACGGAATTACGTTGGAAGTTCCGTTGGAATTTCATCGGAGTTCCAACGAAATTTCCGATTTGGATTCCGATTAATTTTTTTTCAAATTTTTTAGAATCCTAATTCCGTCGGAATTCCGTCGCAACACTGTTGGAATTACATCGCAAAATTCTTTGGAACTCTGATGGAATTCCGACGGAATTACGTTGGAATTCCATCGGAGTTCCAACGAAATTTACTGATGGGATTCCGATTAATTTTTTTCAAATTTTTTAGAATCCTAATTCCGTCGGAATTCGGTCAGAATTTCGTCGGAATCCCATCGGAAATTCTTTGGAATTCCGACGGGAATTCCGACGGAATTACGTTGGAAGTTCCGGCGGAATTCTAATTGAACCACCAGGGGGCGCACTTTCCGGGGAATCTTTCCAAGTGGGAATGAAAGAATTCAAATGAAACAAATTTCTTTAAAACCAAAAAATTTTTTTCTGGTGAAAATAAATTTTAATTTTTTCCTTCTAGGTCCTTTTCTTTCGAAGCGTGTCACATATATATATATATATATATTTATGTATAGTATTAGTGTCAAATGTGGAGCAGCTGAAATGTTTAAACGAAATTGAACGCCTTTTTTTTTAGAATTTTATTGAATCAAAATTCCTTCATATATGTCTATAAGCTTTTGTGTAAGCTTATAGAGTGTCTCGCATGTAACGCTTTCTTTCTATAAAGACATTGTAATATATATATATATATATATATATATATATATATATATACAAGGTGTTCGCTCAGGATGGCTGGTTATTACTTTCCTTTTTTTTATATATATAAAAAGATACATAGAAAAGACAAGATCGCACTTTCTACAGTGGAGAAGAAATCTGACGATGTGCCAAGAAGAAATGAGACTTCGTATATATTCAACATGTTTTAACACTTTCTTAGATCAATTTTTTTTATGACTCGTCAAGAAAGAGAAATTTTTTTCCCATATGTATATGCTTTTTCGTATAAGAAGCAGCCATTTCCGCGATAGCGAATATTCTTGAGAGACAAATTTTTTTTTTTTTTGTCATCAAGAGAATTTATTAAATTTTTTTTCAAAAGAAAAAAAATTATACCATTTTTTTTTTGCCTGAAAAAAAAATTACTGTGAAATTTTGTTGAACAAAAATTTTCATATAAAATTTATTCCAAAGGCGTTCAATTTTGTTTTTTTATGGCCAATTATAAAGTGGAAAGATATTTATAAATATATATATATATATATTTATATATTAATATAATAAAATTCCATTTTGATTCGAGATTTTTTATATATCAATTATTGCAATGTGATAGGGGACGAAAGTTGTTTTCTATAGTTGCTTTTTTTTTTTCAGCAATGATATGCATAGAGAAGAGTGACGACGAGCCAGTAGATGATACTGCTGGAAAATCGACTGAGGCACTCGACCCCATTTTTGCCGGGTCGCTTCCTTTTGCCCTTTGATTTCGTTCGTCTTTTACGTGAAAATATTGCATTTGTCGAATTTGTTGGCGATTCAACATTGCAATAGCTTAGATCACAACAGCTGATACAAATCTGGAACGAAATAACCGAATTTATTTAGTTTTTTTATTTTCACACTGTGAATCGTATAATTGAACATATATAGAATCACGCGTGTGCAAATCATGCAAAATTCGATATTCCGTACCCTTTGTGTGTCAACGGGTAAACAGCCAACTGAAGCTGGACCGCATTCTGCACTGCTCGCACAACTTTTGCTCACCTAAATATTAAAAAAATTTTCATTTTATATTTTTTTTTTTTTTGACAAAATTTAATGAAAATAAAAATTTATTCAAATAATTATCAGTTTTGAATTATTTTTTTTTTTTATCAAATAAAAATTATTTTGAAACAAATGAAATTCAAATAAAAATTAAATTTGAAACAAATAAAATTCAAATAAAAATTAAATTTGAAACAAATAAAATTCAAATAAAAATTAAATTTGAAACAAATAAAATTCGAATAAAAATTAAATTTGAAACAAATAAAATTCAAATAAAAATTAAATTTGAAACAAATAAAATTCAAATAAAATTCAAATAAAAATTATTTTGAAACAAATAAAATTCAAATAAAAATTATTTTGAAACAAATAAAATTCAAATAAAAATTAAATTTGAAACAAATAAAATTCAAATAAAAATTATTGTAAAATAATGAAATAATTGTGATGCGCTCTAAAGGGACCTTAGAAGCAAAAAAAAAAAAAAAATAGGTTATGTTTTGAAATTTTGAAGTGGAAATACATAAAGTGGAAGTGATCCACTGTTGATCATTCTTTCTACAAGATTATTTTATACCAAAAACACAGCAAAAAAAAAAAAATTTCTTTTCATGAAAATCAAATAAATAATATATTTAAATCATTTATGTTGTAAATTTATTTAAACCACTTTCTGATGAAAAAGTTCAAATATATTTAAATTCATTCTCTTGAGAATATTTCTATCGTTATATATTATATATATATATACAAAAGTTTAAACTTTTAAAGTACAAAGCTTTCAAAACTTGAGATTGTCAAGTTTTCACAAGCCCACACAATTTGTTACGCTTTCAACTTTTAAATTAAATTTCAAAATTTACATGGATTTTTCCCATGATGTTAAAACTTGTAAATTTGAAAATATTGACGTATAGATTAAATGAAGAAAAAAAAAAGATTTTTTTTAGAGATGAAAAAAAAAGTAATTCCCTTGTATAGGGGAATGTAGTCATGAGTGGACCGATCGTCCTCATGAGTGGACCATGGTTTTTTTTTCTTCATAATTATTCCAGGGTGGTCGATACCAAAATAAAAAAATAGGAAAAAAATTGTTGTATTAAAAAAATTTGAAATACATGTAATATGTATTTACCTACTTGGAATGATTCCCCGGAAAGTGCACAATGGAGGTTTTATCAGAATTCCGCCGAAACTTCCAACGTAATTCCGTCGGAATTTCCGATGGGATTCCGATTAATTTTTTTTTCAAAATTTTTAGAGTCCTAATTCCGTCAGAATTCCGTCGGAACTCCGTCGGAATGCCATCGGAAATTTCGTTGGAACTCCGATGGAATTCCGACGGAATTACGTTGGAAGTTCCGGCGGAATTCTAATAGAACCTCCAGAGGGCATTTTCCGGGGAATCTTTCCAAGTGGGTACTGTCAATAGTAAAAATGATTTTCAGTCAGACAGAATTTCTTTCGAATTCTTTTAATTCTTGTCTAAGAAATTTATTTTAGTCAGAAAACCTATTTGTATTCTATTTTTTATAAAAATCAGTAGTACAAGTAAGTTTTAGTGAGGCAAATTTGTTTAAATTCATTGTTTATATAAATCAGTAGTAAAAGAAATGTTTCAATCAGACACAATTTTTTTCTAATTCTTTTAAAACCCTTATATCAGTAGTAAAAGTGAATTTCAGTCAGACAAAACTTTTTTTAATTCAAAACTAAGAACTTTTTTTTTTAATTATTCTATTTTTTTGTGTCAGTAGTAGAAGTTAGTTTTAGTCAGACAATTAATTTAATTTCAGGATTAAAATTAAGTAAGTTATTTATAAAAATCAGTAGTGTAAGTAAATTTCAGTCAGACAAATTATTCAAATTTCTGATTTATATAAATCAGTAGTACAAGTAAGTTTTAGTCAGACATAAATTTTGCGAATTATTGTGTTTCTTATCAGTAGTGTAAGTTAGTTTTGCTCAGACAAATTATTTATAAAAATCAGTAGTATGAGTAAAGTTTCAGTCAGACATAACTTTTTTTAAAATTCCTTTAATTCTTGTATAAGTAGTTAAAGTCAGTTTTAGTCGAGACAGATTTGTTCAAATTTTTCAAATTCTCGCATCAGTAGTAAAAGTGAGTTTTAGTCAGGCAAAAAATTTTTTTTTTAAATACTTTTATTAGTAGTAAAATTCATTTTTAGTCAGACACGAAAAAAAACCTAATCCACTCATGACTACATTACCCTATTGTTTTTTTTTATTATTCAAATTAATCGATTATTATTATTATTAGTGGAAAATAATATACGTTTTTGCATGACAATAAACTTTAATCGATTTTAAATCATCTGACATTAATTATTCCATTCTAAGAAATCCAGAGAGCGTATAACGTAAACTTTCCCGTGGAATCACAGGCAACAGTGATTTATCGTTGAAACTTGGAGTGAAATAATCCCTAAGTTACTTATCGAGGCCATTCATTTCACGCATAGGTATACATTATATATATATATACGTTATATTCTATTGAGGATTGGAAGTTTTGAATTTGCTATATGTTTTGAAAACAATCTTAATTGCTTTATAGATAAGTATGATATAATTTAATGTAATTTTCCGTATATATTTAATATTTGGGAAAAATTTTGGCATTTATAATATTTTAATATAAAATTTTAATTATAAGACAAAAATCAAAGATATAGAATGATAATTATGTGAATTTGAAAAAAATAAATTAAAAAAATTAAGAAAAATAATTCTTACCAATACGCTGTTTCCGAGACTATCTAAGATGTGTAGAGATCGACAGAAATCTCTGCCACCCATCGGACAAGGTGTGTCTATCGCCCATTCGTTACACATCTATGAAAAAAAATTTTAACAATATTTAAGTACAAAAAAGTGGTTTTTTAAAAAAAATTTTGTATTATAAATTACAACTATATTTTTTAAATATATTTTGTAAAAAAGTTACAGACAGAACTATTGCGAATTCTTGTATTTTTTTATCAGTAGTGCAAGTAAGTTTTAGTCAGGCTAATTATTTAAATTCATTGTTTTATATATATATATATATATATATATATCAGTAGCAAAAGAAAGTTTCAATCAGACGCCATTTTTTCTAATTCTTTAAACTCTTGTATCAGTAGTCAAAGTGAGTTACAGTCAGACAAAACTTTTTTTAATTCAAAACTACGAATTTTTTTTATAATTATTTTTTTTGTCTCATTTGTAAAAGTTAGTTTTAGTCAGACAAATATTCTAAGACATAACTTTTGCGAATTTTTGTATATTTTTATCAGTAGTGCAAGTCAGTTTCAGTTAAGACAGAATTTTTTGCGAAATTTTATTTAACTTTTTTCAGTAGTAAAAATTAATTTTAGTCAGCCAAATTATTTGAATTGTATGTTTATATAAATCAAAAAAAGTGAGTTCCTGTCAGACATAACTTATTTAAAATTTTTTATCAGTAGTGTAATTTAGTTTTAGTCAGACAAATTATTTATTTAAAAAATCAGTAGTATTGGTAAGTTACAGTCAGACATAAATTATTTCGAATTTTGTATCAGTAGTGTAATTTAGTTTTAGTCAGACAAATTATTTATTTAAAAAATCAGTAGTATTGGTAAGTCACAGTCAGACATAACTTATTTCGAATTTTTTATCAGTAGTGTAATTTAGTTTTAGTCAGACAAATTATTTATTTAAAAAATCAGTAGTATTGGTAAGTTACAGTCAGACATAACTTATTTCGAATTTTTTATCAGTAGTGTAATTTAGTTTTAGTCAGACAAATTATTTATTAAACGAATCAGTAGTATAGGTAAGTTTCAGTCAGACATAACTTTTTAAAATTCTTTTAATTTTTCTAAGAGTAGTGAAAGACAGTTTTAGTAAGACAAAACTTTTTCCAAATTCTTTTATTAGTAGCACAGAAAATTAAAAGGTATTAAAATAAGCTGCAACGATTATTATTTTAATCCAATTTTGCTTATTTTAATACCAAAATGGATTAAAATAAGAAAAATTGGATTAAAATAATAAGCGTTGCAGCTTATTTTAATGACTTTTAATTTTCTGTGAGTACAAGTTTCAGTCAGACATAAATTTTTCAAATTTTCTATCAGTAGTGTAATTTAGTTTTAGTCAGACAAATTATTTATTAAAAGAATCAGTAGTATAGGTAAGTATTAGTAGTACAAGTTTAAGTCAGACATAAATTTTTTCGAATTGGTTTTTTTTTATAGTACTATAATGTAGTTTAGGCCACACAAATTACTCCAATTTTAAGTGTGTGTGTGCTTCATGAAAAATTAGAATAATTATAGCTACAAGGATATCATTTAACGCTTTAGAGCTGCAGACTATAATTACAATTTCTTGTATAGTAGCAAAAGCCATAGCATTGGAAGAGGTTTGCTGACATATATATATATATATATATACACGGGGAATCAGGGATATATTGTTCGGTTTTTGAAGTTGGTAGGATAACGTCCAGTGAGTTAGTAGTTGTATATAGTAGTGCATGGCGGTGACATAAGTGGCGAGATTACACTAGAACGTCGAGTCCTCCAGCAACAGATGCTACTGTGCGGTTTTGTTCAAAACCCAAGAAGAAAAAAAAAGGAAGGAAGAGTAGAAAACTGATAAGGATGTCGACAAGATGCAATGGATTTTGGCTTTTCGTTTGCAGACGCAATAATAATAGAATTCGACTAAAAAAATTTTATTTCCGCATATTATATAAGAAAAATAAGATTTAATTAAAAATAAATCGTTATTATTATTATTATTATTATTTCAAAATTAGTAGTATAAATCAATTATGGTCAGACTGATGATTTTCGCTACATGTAGTTAAATAGAAAATTTTTTCAGACATAATTTTTTGTGGAATTATTGTATTTTATCAGTAGTGAAAGTGAATTTTAGTCAGACGAAGTATTCAATTTTTTTATTCATCTAAATAAGTAGAAAAAGTGAGTTGAAGTCAGACACAAAATTTAGCGAATTCTTGTATTTATTTTATCAGTAGTGCTAGTTAGTTTAAGTCAGACAAATTATTTATTAAAATCAGTAGTGTAAGTAAATTTCAGTCAGACAAATTATTCAAATTTCTGATTTATATAAATCAGTAGTACAAGTAAGTTTCAGTCAGCCAAATTGGTTTAAATTCATTGTTTATATAAATCAGTAGTAAAGGAAATGCTTCAATCATACACAATTTTTTTCTAATTCTTTTAACCCTTGTATCAGTAGTAAAAGTGAATTTCAGACCGACAAAAATTTTTTTTAATTCAAAACTATAACTTTTTTTTAATTATTCTATTTTTTTGTGTCAGTAGTAAAACTTAGTTTTAGTCAGACAATTATTTTAATTTCAGGATTAAAAATTAGTAGTGCAAGTAAGTTATTTATTAAAATCAGTACTGTAAGTAAATTTCAGTCAGACAAATTATTCAAATTTCTGATTTATATAAATCAGTAGTACAAGTAAGTTTCAGTCAGACAAATTTGTTTAAATTCATTGTTTATATTATATCAGTAGTAAAAGAAAGTTTCAATCAGACACAATTTTTTTCTAATTCTTTTAACCCTTGTATCAGTAGTAAAAGTGAATTTCAGTCCAACAAAAATTTTTTTTAATTCAAAACTATAACTTTTTTTTAATTATTTTTTTTTTGTGTCAGTAGTAAAAGTTAGTTTTAGTCAGACAATTATTTTAATTTCAGGATTAAAAATTAGTAGTGCAAGTAAGTTATTTTTTAAAATCAGTAGTGTAAGTAAATTTCAGTCAAACAAATTATTCAAATTTCTGATTTATATAAATCAGTAGTACAAGTAAGTTTTAGTCAGACATAAATTTTGCGAATTATTGTGTTTCTGGTCAATAGTGTAAGTTTGTTTTGATCAGACAAATTATTTATAAAAATCAGTAGTGTAAGTAAATTTAAGTCAGACAAAGGATTTAAAATTTCTGGTTCATATAAATCAGTAGTACAAGTAAGTTTCAGTGAGACAAATTTGTTTAAATTCATTGTTTATATAAATCAGTAGTAAAAATGAATTTCAGTCAGACTAAACTTTTTTAAATTCAAAACTAAGAACTTTTTTTTAATTATTCTATTTTATTTGTGTCAGTAGTAAAAGTTAGAATTATTGTGTTTCTGGTCAATAGTGTAAGTTTGTTTTGATCAGACAAATTATTTATAAAAATCAGTAGTGTAAGTAAATTTAAGTCAGACAAAGGATTTAAAATTTCTGGTTCATATAAATCAGTAGTACAAGTAAGTTTCAGTGAGACAAATTTGTTTAAATTCATTGTTTATATAAATCAGTAGTAAAAATGAATTTCAGTCAGACTAAACTTTTTTAAATTCAAAACTAAGAACTTTTTTTTAATTATTCTATTTTATTTGTGTCAGTAGTAAAAGTTAGTTTTAGTCAGACAATTATTTTAATTTCAGGATTAAAAATTAGTAGTGCAAGTAAGTTATTTATTAAAATCAGTAGTGTAAGTAAATTTCAGTCAGACAAATTATTCAAATTTCTGGTTTATATAAATCAGTAGTACAAGTAAGTTTTAGTCAGACATAAATTTTGCGAATTATTGTGTTTCTTGTCAATAGTGTAAGTTAGTTTTGATCAGACAAATTATTTATAAAAATCAGTAGTATGAGTAAAGTTTCAGTCAGACATAACTTTTTTTTAAATTCCTTTAATTCTTGTATTAGTAGTACAAGTGAGTTTTAGTCAGACATAAATTTTGCGAATTATTGTGTTTCTTATCAGTAGTATAAGTTAGTTTTGATCAGACGAATTATTTATAAAAATCAGTAGTATGAGTAAAGTTTCAGTCAGACATAACTTTTTTTAAAATTCCTTTAATTCTTGTATTAGTGGCAAAAGTCAGTTTTAGTCAGACGTGAATTTTATTCAATTAATTTTTATTTTTCTCATATAGTAACAAAATAGTAGAAAAAATCAAATTTTTAATTAAAAATACAATTAAAATTACAGTTAATAGTATAAATGTCTCTGATTGTTAAATACTATATATTGCTATTCCTTATTATTTTGTATTTGCAATAGAAAAAAAAAAGTTTAAGTAAAATTTTCATTATTTTAAAAGTTTGAATAAAACTGATGGTAAAATGAAAGTGAAAAATATATATACAGTGTTTAAAAAGAGAAAAGTCCAATTAAAGAAAATAAAGAGAAAAATTAAAAAAACTTTCAAGAATCATTTTTTCATCTGTTTTCTTCATAACGTTAATGTTCTTTTTTTTCAAAAATCATTTTACGTCTTTTTTTCCAGCATTTTTGTTTTTTCTATCTCAAAAATTTAAATATATTATATATTTAAATACATACAAATAAATCTTAATATTTAATTAAAATAAACATTTGTATAAATAAATGACGGTTAATAATAAATTGTATTTTATTCTAATACAAGTATATTTAAATCAGTTCAAATATCTTTTGAATATAATGAATCAAATATTATATAAAATTAAAATAATTTTTAATTTTCTCGATGCGAAAAATAAATAAAGGTTCATTGTTCTTTAAATGTGAAAAAAAATAAATTCGGATAATATGAAAGATGAATTGAAAGGTTAATTACACCAAAGAAAAAAAAAAAAAGTATTTTTTTTTTCAGGAAAAATAATATTTGAGAGGTAAAAAATTAAAAAAAAAAAAAAAAAAATTGACGATGAAAAAAAGGAGAATAATGACAAGAGTGTATGAAAAAATAATCCCCTCGTGTTTTTGTGAGAGAAAGAACAATTGCTTTTAGAAAAAGTGTTTGGTAGGTGCATGATAACAGAATTAGGTACTCTTAGGCAGTGTTTAATAGGCTTTTCAATACCTGGTTATCGCTGACGTTGACGCAAGTGTAGCACGTTAGACCTGCACGACAGAAAAAAAAGAAAGATGAAAGGCAAAAGAGTAAAAAAAAGGAAAAAAAAGACTAGCTTCATTTTACATTGTGTAAGCCATGCTAATACGTTAAAAATATGTTAAAAACATTGATAATATACTTTTAAAAACGTGGGCCATTTTAACTTATAAATTTTATTCTTACATAAGGATTATATGTTATAATTTATAATTAAATAATTTTTTTTTTTTATTCATTTTTATTAATTTATTAAAAATTTATATTTAAAAAATAGAAAATACAAAATTATATCTAATTTGAAATAAGATGCTCACATCTTTAATGAAACTTTTTTTTCTGAAAAGTATACATATTTTGAATGCAAAGTCTCCGAAAAGAGAATTTGTAATTTAGCTTATAAATTCTCTTTACGAATTTTAGATTATATAGGTAAATATAATGCAATCCTAATTAGCAAAAAGTGATAATGACAAAAGTTTTAAATTTTATTATATAGCTATAAAAAAATGTATTATACTAATCAGATTAAATTAATTTAATAAAAAAATTTTTAAATAAAAATTCCAGCTTTTGTTAATAAGAAAATGAAAAATTCAACATTTTCTTTAGTCTATTTTCTTTTTAAAGACACCTCAATACTTTGAAAGCTATTCGATATTTATTATTCACTATCTGGACATTGCGTATCAAGCAAAAAAAAAAAAAATTTCTCCATTTAGAAATGATACACGAGATGGGTGGTAAACTCTTTTCAGGTTTTCATAGCTCTAAAACTGCTGAAAAGGCTCTCTCTCTCTCTTTTTTTTTGCGCGCGCAATGCTCTTCAAACTTTAAAAACGATGAAAGACACAGCGTAAAAAGGTGACGGAAAAAAATCTTAAAAAATTTTTCATTCTTATAAAAAAAAAAATAACACAACAAAATTTTACTTTTTTCAAATTATTTTTTTCATTAAATCTTTTATAATTTATTTTCGAGATTCAATATTAACTTCAATTTTTACTAAGCATATGTTACCTTGACTTTATTTATATATGAATATTTGCTTATAAAAAATTCTATAAGGAACTATATTAAAATTTTTAACACGCGTACTTGAATATGCGACCTACTTTTTTTTTTTTTTTTTGAACATTCTTATAAATATTAAAATAAAATTTATCAAGATAAACAAATATTGTTTTCCATTAAAAAAATTTTATATTAACAACAGTTAATTGCAAGATTTATATAGTAATATATAAAGATAAAGATAGTTACGTTTAAATTAATAAGAAATTTAAATAATAATTTTTTTTTACAATAAATTTTTTATAATTTTTTTTATAACAATTTTTTTCTTTAAAAAAAAAAAGAAAAATAATTTTTAAAGTAGGGTTAAAAAAAATTTTTTGGTTTTAGTACATATATATATATTTTTTTCTATTCATAAGTTATAATAAACTCACGATAGATATCCTCCTCGTCAGCAGCAGTCGCTTTCAGGCCGCTTTTCTGCTTCGTTTCGTCTTTTCCGTTTCCATTTTCGGAGACGACGTTTCTGCCGCACGTTGTTTCCGCAGCTAAGAGCAGCCCGACCATAACCCACGTGATCATTCCTCACATCTCTGGAGAGAAAAAAAAATTATAATTTATAAAAAAGAACTTACCGAAAAAAAAAACTTTTTTTTTACAATTTAGTTTTCTGTTAATATACTTAAATATATTTTTAATAATATAACAAATATTTTAGAAAATTATAAATTCATTTAAATTTTAAAAATTCGTTGAAACTATTTTTTTCACGTGCGTATGGTAAATATTTAAAAAAAAAAAACTATCATTGTTTGAAGTTATATATTTCTTAATAAGTAAAATTAACATAAAGACGAAAAATTTTTTTTTTCATTTCGAACAAAAGTAGTTATTTAATTTATTACAAAATTATTGTAAATATTCTTTTGTTACAAATTTATTTCCATTTTTAATAAAATTACGAAAATCCTCTTAATTTTCATATTTTAATTTGAGACAAATAATTAATTAATAATTTTTAATATTTAATTTTTTATATTATACGATGATAAGTTTTTTTTTTAAACCTGCTCTTATCTTTTACATAAGTCATGAAATTTACAAAGTTTTTATAATTATATACAAAGTAAATATTCCATTTTAAAAATTAACATAAATAAATATTTAAACAATTGTCTAAAAATGTTAACGTCTTATAAATACATGCGCCTATATTTGAGTTTGTCTATGAAAAATTTTATCAGAAAGTGATTAATCTTTGTTAAAGCACATACATTGTAAGTGAAGAATTAATATATTTATCTTAAGATCGCTAATTATTTTTCTTTCATAATATATATATATATATATATATATATATATATATATATATATATATATATATATATATATACATATATATTTTTGATAATTTTTTTTAATATTGAAAATATTTTTAATTTTATTTTGCTTAACTTTTTCTATTTTTATTTTTCTGTGGCAGCGAACTATTTGCTGTGACAGCAAATTACGTTAGCTAATATAGGAACAGCTAACAAATTTGCTGTGGGGTCAAAAAAGTTTGCTGTGACAGTAAATTTTTAAAAATTAAAACTGATATTGTTTATCACAGCAAAATTTTTCGTTGTCATAGCAAAAAATTTAGCTGCGATTACTAATTTTCATAGATCCAATAGCAAACATCAGTTAGTAGCTGTAAGCAATTTTTTTTTCCCGTGTATTTTTAAATATTTCATTTAAATATGTAGAAGAAATGAATTTTTATAAAAAATGACTTAAAATTTCATATATTTAAAAATACTTTATAAAAAATAAAAAATTTTAATTGAACAGAAAATTTTTTTTCTGTTTACTATTAAAAAAAAAAAAGAAAAAGTGTTAAAAATTATTATTAATAACAACAACAAAAAAACTTTACATGCAAATTATAATTATCAACAACATTATTTATTTGTTTATTTTCAGAAATTTGTACTGTTACTGGAAAAATGAAAAAAATTCTTATATTAATTTTTTTAATTACATATGAAATCTATGGTATATCAGGATTTCCAGATAGTAAAATTGCAAATTCAACTGATCGTTCAAATAGAAGACATCATTTTTCATCAACAATTTTATTTCATGTAAGAGTTGATTTAAAAATTTCTACCTTCTATATAGACAAAAAAAAAAAAAAAAAAAATTTATTTTATTTAAAAAAAGTTCATTATACGTATATAGAATTTTAAAAAAAAATCACGGAAAAAGAACTTTATTTGGAACAACGAAATAGAGTTTTTTTTCAATTATTTGATTCAAGTAAATATTTCTTTGATAATAGTAAAGACACTATATTTGTATCAAATAACCCTTATGAAAATTCATTATAAGAAAATAATGTTTAAGCTGAAATGTTTTCAAAAAAATGTTTTTTTTAATAATATTTTTGCGATTATAGGTAATTTTTTATAAAAAATTCATTATAAAATTTTTTTTCTCAAATAATTATAAAAATATAATTATTAGAGACTCTATAATGAAATCATTACAATTTTATAATTATGAAAATGTAATTATAGAAAATTAAATTTTTGCACGTGAAAAATTTATATAGTTATCAGTAAAATTTTGTATTTTACTGATAACTATATATAGTTATCAGTAAAATACAAAATTTTACTGATAACTATATAAATTTTTCACGTGCAAAAATTTAATTTTCTATAATTACATTTTCATAATTATAAAATTGTAATGATTTCATTATAGAGTCTCTAATAATTATATTTTTATAATTATTTGAGAAAAAAAATTTTATAATGAATTTCTTATAAAAAATTACCTATAACCTATAATCGTGTGGATCCCTTTTTTGTTTAGAAGATAACTTTAACAGGTTTTAATGGATTTAGATAAAATTTGGTAGGCTCATTTATCATATTAATATCTCAAATCTGACCAAAGAATTTTAAAAAATACCCAAAAAAAAAAATTTTATCGTCTTTTTTCCAAAAAATTTTTTTTAATCAAAAAAAATTTTAAATAGGAAAATATAAGGTTATATATAATAAAATCGTATTCCTTACGTCAAGACAAATCGATCAGTATATATATATATAAAGTATACATTTGAGGTAAATTTAAAGAATTAATGAAAGTTAAAAAATTAAAAATTCACATTTTGGCTATAAAATTTTGTGATTATTTAAATTTAACTTTATAGATGAAATAATTATATTCCTTACATGAAAACAAATCGATTGGTATATATATATATATAAAATTTAAATTTAAGGTAAATTTAATAAATTAATGAAAGTTAAAAAATAGAAAATACACATTTTAGCTGAAAAATTTTATATTTATTTAATTTCAAATTTAAATATAAAATAATTGTGTTCCTTGCATTAAAACGAATCGATATAATTGTAAATAATTATAAATTATATATTATTTTTCTTTTTCATTAATATTTAGAAATTTCGGTTAAAATATGATTTTTTAACTTCTTTAAATTTTACTCAAAATGTATAGGTACTCTCAATGTTTATATTATTATATTATTTTTGTATATTTATTTCAATCTTAATGCTTTCTCCACGAGGAAGCAAATTTTTTTTTTTTTTTTGCTGATCGTAAAGAGGAAGCAAATTTTTTTTTTTTTTTGCTGATCGTAAAGAGGAAGCAAAATTTTCATGTAATGAACATCTGAATTTACAACTTGTTTTTCTATTTATATATAAACATCTATTATTTACAGAATGATTCATCTGATGAGATGTCAATAATTCAATTATGCAATCCAATAAATAAAGAAGTGGAAATAATTTACAAATTAGAAATTCGTGGAAGTGTGATAAAATTAAGTGATATAAAAGAAGAGAATTTATGTAAGGGAAAAGTGGGATATTTAGAAATATTTGCATTAAATGAAATTTTAATAGATAAAGATTTAATTCGTCAGGGACAATTATTACAAATTGTTCTATTAGCACCGAAAATAAAAATTTTAGGAAAAAGAAAAATAAATTTAAATGGAACGCCAGGTGAAGAATTAATATCATCATTGAATGGACATATGGGAATAAATGGAAATGATGGATTAGCGGGCAATACAGGTGGTTCTGGTGGGATATTTTTTGCAATTGCAAATAAAATTGAAAATAGAAATAATCTTACTATTATGGCTAATGGAGGAAATGGTGGTAATGGACAGAATGGTGGAAATGGTGGCAATGGAATTGAAGGACAAGGACCAAATGTCAAATCAATGGATTATTTATTAAATATTTTAACAAAAAATTGGTGGGGTTGTAATAAAAATATTAAAAAATGCATTGTCAAAGGTCAAACGGGCACTAAAGGTGGTGATGGTGGAGACGGTGGTGTTGGTGGAAATGGAGGAAAAGGTGGAAAAATAATTTTATATCAATTAAATGAAAATAATGCAAAAAAGGAGAAACAATTTATTGTCGATGGAGAAAAAGGTTTATCAGGAAAGGGCGGTATAGGTGGAAAAGGTGGTAAACATGGTGGTTATATAGAAATGAAATGCTGTCAAGAAATTGAAAAATTGGATAAAGAAAAAATTTATACCATTAAAAATGTTGATGATTTTGCTCCATCTGGTAAAAATGGTACCGATGGTATTAATTTTAATTCATTAATTGAATCCAAAGAATTTAAAGGTTATAGAGAATTTTCATTTGCTGTGAATGATTATAAAAAATTTCTTCTCACTCACACAACAAGAAATATTCTATTTTATAATCAATTAATTGCAAATGAAGAAATTAATAAACAATATAATACACAATCTCTATTGGATGAATTATTTAATTTAGATGAACAATTTTTGAAATTGTCTGTAGAAAAAAATTTTACTTTTCTATATGAATCTTTAATATCAAGAATTGAAAATTATGATAAAAATGAAACAAATGATGCACTCAATTTTGCCAAAGCAATTCTTCAAAATAATATCAAAAATTTATATCAACAACAAATTAATTTAACACAATATTTAAATATTCTCGAAGGGAATTTAAATAAAATTCCTAATAAATTTTTAATTGACAATCAATTTAATAGGGAACAATTAAAAATGAAAATTGAAGAAACTTATAAATTTATTAAAATTGATATTAAATCTGAAATGTTAAATATAAGAAATATAATACAAAAATTGGCTTATGAATTAATTTTAAATAAAAATTCACTAATTATAAACGATACATCGATAATAAATAAAGCATTTTTTCTATTGGGAATAATGGAAAATGTAGCAACTGTAACAATAGCATTAAGTTCATATGCTTTAATTGCAATAACATCAATTACTAAATCAAAGGAAATGTTAGTGAAAAAATTGAAAAATAATTTTCAAATTGCATTTGCAATTGAAGAAAATTATAAATTAAATCATTTACATCTTGTTTTAACAAAAAATATAAAAAAAAATTATACATTGCCAATATATGAAAATCAATTATTTGCAATTTTAATTCCTTTATTAATAAAAATAAAGGAACAATATTCTATTTATGAAAAATCAAATTTTTCTTCTAATTTAACATTATTTAAAATTGATGTAGAAAATTTTTTTACAAATTTGGAATTTTTTTTGAAAAATTATGAAAATTTAAATTTGAAAAATGAAAAAATTACAGATATTCTTTTGCAAAAAGTTTACAAAAGTTTCAATAATCTTAAAGACATATACAATCAATTGGAATTATTTGAAAATGAAAAAGAAACTGATAAATTACAAGAAATTGTTGATAAAATTAAATTTGTAAATACATTAGTTCAATATAAAACAGCATACAATTATTTTAAATATACATTTCCATTTGCTGAATTACAAATTAATAAAACAAATTTCAATGATATTAATAAAAGATATGTTTCACTAATCAATCAAGTGAAAAATAATGTCAAAATAATGAAAGAAATAATAAAAGAAGATTTGAATAAAAAAAACAAACATTAAAATAAGATTTTTTTTCAAAGAAGTGAATTTAGATGTCTTATTATGAAATAAAGGGAAAATTTTTATTAAAAATGTAATGAAACATTGTTTGTAATATATTTCAAAAGATATATTTAATTTTACCAAGTCATTTTGAAATTGCAAACTGGAGGAAGGGGAACATTACTGAAGACGAATTTACAAATGGGGATTTTATGGTGAGTCCATTTGCTAAATGGAGTGTAAAACTTGGTTTGTGTCAGGGAAATGTGCCGTTAAATTATTTTCAACAATTTAAAAATAAAGTTAATTTAATTTTAGAAATAAAAAAAAAAAAATTAAACAGTATGTAATTCGAAAAAAAAAAATTATAAATCTAATAAAAAGTTGCTTTTTTTGAATTTTTAAGTTATAATAAATATTTTATATTTCTAATTTTTATTTGTTTTATTATCACAGAAACCAACATTGAGATTACTTGTTAACTTCAATTAGTGTTGTTGGAGACAAAGCAAACTAGATTTCTAGTCAATTTCACATCCAGTTAAGCTTTGGTAGTCATGAATTAATTATTAATAATTACACAGTAAACTTTGTTGTATCTTTTTCTATTGCAACGTTTTGATACACATAAGTTATATTAAAAAGAGATCGTTTTGTGTATCATTTTTAGAAATGATACACGAAACGGTCTCATTTTTTGATGCAAAAAATTTAATCAATTTATATCAATCATGGCCGAATTGAATCGACTCAAAATTAAACGAATTTTTTTCAGATATTTTGGTAATAGTACAATTGCGGAGACCATTTCACTATATTTAATTTGAAAATGAAAATAACAGAAAATCAAAGACAATGTGCAATTCGATAATTAAAAAGTGACAACTTATAAACATAACCTAAAATGCATGAGAAAAAATTTGTCGATAAAATCAATATAGCCGAGCTTTTTAGAAGGTAGATGGCGCAGCACTCATCTATTTTCTTTCTTTAAATTTTTTCTGAATCGTTTTTATAAAAAGCAAAACTGCCATCTACCTTCTAAAAAGCTCGGCTATATTGATTTTATCGACAAATTTTTTCTCATGCATTTTAGGTTATGTTTATAAGCTGTCACTTTTTAATTATCGGATTGCACATTGTCTTTGATTTTCTGTTATTTTCATTTTCAAATTAAATATAGTGAAATGGTCTCCGCAATTGTACTATTACCAAAATATCTGAAAAAAATTCGTTTAATTTTGAGTCGATTCAATTCGGCCATGATTGATATAAATTGATTAAATTTTCTGCATCAAAAAATGAGACTGTTTCGTGTATCATTTCTAAAAATGATACACAAAACGATCTCTTTTTGATATAACTTATGTGCATCAAAACGTTGCAAAGATTTGATGCAATTTTTGGTCTCAAATTGATACTTTTAGGAAAACTGTGTAATTAATAAATTAAATAAAAGAGAATATTTAGGGAAAATAAAGTGAAAAAAAAGAAATTCGAATTAAAAGACTTAGTGATGGTATTTTTTTTGAAAAGTTCTATCCGGAAAGTTTAGAGAGCAAAACAAAAGACTCTTATATTGCGGAGTAAGTAGAATGAAATCCGGATCAAGAATTACCGCAATCTCTATATATGCAACGACTCGTTTTAAATCCGTTGGAGGCATCGACCACAAATGCATATATATATACTGTGTATGTATGGTTAAAACGGATCGATAAATCTCGTCTCCAGTTTCCTATCGTTTCTCCTTGTTAGACTATCTCTCTCTCTCTCTCTTGCTCTCTTACTAGAGTCGATCAAAGTTCAATTCGTTGGACCGATTGGCCTATCAAAGCCAGGTCCATGGACCTGGAATCGATGGATTGTACCAAACCAGGAAACGACTCTCTCTCTGAAAATCAAGACCTTAGACATTGAATTCCCGGATATCAGCAAGAGAGAGAGAAAAAAGATGCATTTCTTCTCTCTCATTTCAAATGCATAGAATATGCCAGTATCTCAAGAACATATTTCACTTTGTGGTGAAGTTATATAAAACTAATAAATGCAAGCTTGCCTCAAAATTAGAAAGATCAATTATGCAATTCCACTTCCACTGATTTTTATTTTCACTCTCATTTTCACTTTCACTTATAGACTGATTCTAATTTTCATTTTTACTTACACTTTCACTCTCATTTTCACTTATAGACTAATTCAAATTTTCATTTTTACTTACACTTTCAATATCATTTTCACTTTCACTTTCTCCTTCCACTGATTCTAATTTTCACTCTCATTTTCACTTTCACTTAGACTGATTCTAATTTTCATTTTTACTTACACTTTCAATTTCACTTTCACTTCCTCCTTCCACTGATTCTAATTTTCACTCTCATTTTCACTTTCAATTAGACTGATTCTAATTTTCATTTTTACTTACACTTTCAATTTCACTTTCACTTCCTCCTTCCACTGATTCTAATTTTCACTCTCATTTTCACTTTCAATTAGACTAATTCAAATTTTCATGTTTACTTACACTTTCAATATCATTTTCACTTTCACTTCCTCCTTCCACTGATTCTAATTTTCACTCTCATTTTCACTTTCACTTATAGACTAATTCAAATTTTCATTTTTTACTTACACTTTCAATATCATTTTCACTTTCACTTTCTCCTTCCATTGATTCCAAATTTCACTCTCATTTTCACTTTCACTGAGTCTTAATTATCACTCTCAATTTCATTAATTTCAAATCAATACACAGAAAATTATAAGGTATTAAAATAAGCTGCAACGCTTATTATTTTAATCCAATTTTGCTTACACTCAGAAAAAAGATATGTTTGAACCAAATGTACCATATTTTTTTTTATATTTACCCAATTTTTTGGTTAGTTCAAACAAAATTTGTTTAATTCAAATAAATATTTATATGATCTAAATAACTATTTGGTTTATCTTAATAAATTTTTTTGAACAAAGAAAAAATTTGATTGAGCTAAATAAACGTTTGGTTTATGCAACCAAATGTTTGATTAACTGTATATCAATGCATTTATTTTGTTGATTTAACCAAAATTTGGTTGCTTCAAACGAATTTTTTTCTGAGTACCAAAATGGATTAAAATAAGCAAAATTGGATTAAAATAATAGCAGCTTATTTTAATGCCTTTTAATTTTCTGTTACACTGAGAAAAAAAATTTGCAACAAAATTGTTTTGGTTAGGCAATTTTGATTCTTGGAACCAAATTTTGTTTGGCTGAAACAAAGTCGTAGGATTATCTCAACCAAACATTTCGTTAGGTCAACAAAATTATTTGGTTGAACATTTTTTTAAATTCCAACTAAAATTTAGTTACGACAAAAAAAATAATTTGGTTAACACAACAAAATAGTTTGGTCTAAGAAACCAAATGATCCGTTTGTTGTCCTAACCAAAATTTGGTTGCGAGAACCAAATAATTTGATTCGCTCTCAGCTTATAGCTTAAGAGAACAATTAGTTTAAATCTCTCACAATAAATAAATAAATTTATTATTTATTTATTTTAGAAAATCAATTTTCTTTTTTTTTATATACACTGAGAAAAAAATTTAGTGTTTGCAACAAAATTGTTTGGTTAGGCAATTTTGTTTCTTGTAACCAAATTTTGGTTCGCTGAAACAAAGCCGTAGAGTTATCTCAACCAAACATTTGATTAGGCCAACAAAATTATTTGGTTGAACATTTTTAAATTACAACCAAAATTTGGTTTTAGTTTGGTCTAAAAAACCAAATGATCGTTTGTTGTCCTAACCAAAATTTGGTTGCGACAACCAAATAGTTTGATTTGATAAAAAGAAAAGAGATAATGTAGAATAAAATTTTTAATTTTACAAAAAAAAAACTGTTGGTTTCATCAACCAAACATTTTTGTTGACCTAATAAAAAAAATTTGGTTGAGCTAACCAAACAGTTTTGTTATGCCAACAAAAAACACTCAACCTAATTTTTTGGTTGACTCAAACAAATAGGTTGCTTAAATATCAATAAAATTTTTTTGTTGGCCCAACCAAATTTTAGTTGCTCTGACTAAACATTTTTCTCAGTGATAGAATTGAAATTAAAATTGAAAATAATAGTGAAAATAACGTCGGAAAAATAGATTTATCTGAAACAGAAAAACGTTTCACTATAGTGACAAAAGTTTTATACTTGTTTCAGTTAAAGATTTTTCTATTCTAAGAAAAATTTTTCGCTGTTTCAGATAAATCTTTTTTTTTTTTTTCATGTAGAATAAGTGAAAATGTAAATGAGAGTGAATGCGAAAGTGAAAATCAAAATCAGTGGAAGTGTAAATGGAATTACATAATCGACCTACTGATGCGATGACAATAATAAACACAATAATAATAAAAACAAAAATAATTCTTCCCCTTGAAAAACATTACTCTATAGCAGTGTTTTAAAATTCTTTTCACTTTAGTATATTTACTCTAAAGTGTTTAAAATTTCATTAACGTAAAAAATGATCAGTTCTCTAATTTTA